AGTTTCTTAATGAGAACGGGGTGAGAGACAGTGTCGAAGGCCTTCCAGAAGTCCAGGAAGACTATATCCACTGCTACCCCTGCATCTAATGATCTGGTGATCTGATCGTAAAAGGCCACCAGGTTGGTCTGACAGGACCTGCCACTGATGAACCCGTGTTGGCTGCCCCTAAGCATGCAGTCCCCTGCTGGCCCCTCATGGATGTGTGCCAGGATAATTTTCTCAAACAGCTTGCCTAGGATCGAGGTAAGACTAACTGGCCTATAGTTTCCCAGGTCCTCCTCCTTCCCTTTTTTGAAGTACCCCCTCTCTTTCCATCCCACCCTAGAAAATACCAGATCTTAGTTTTCACTTTTGACTACAGAAAAATAATAGAACAGTTTTTCTACTGCTTATCTTATGAACTATGTTTTTACTAACCTAACAACATTAACATACTCTGGCACCCTGTGGTCCCCTTGAAAGCATCTCACGTCACTCCAGGATGCTATAGCACTCTGGTTGAGAATCACTGATATAAGGTTTTCAATTCCTAGTGTGCAATGCTCTGTCTTGACTTGAGTAGGCAAGCATGCAGGAGTCAAACAGGATCCAAACAGCACTGCATGCTGCAGACCACATCTGCATGCAACATTCCTATGCCACCCCTGGGAAACTGTCAGAAAAACAGGGGTGGGGGAAGGGTGTCCTACATCATCTGGATAGAGCACTTAAGTGCCAATGTCAGTGTCTCCTTAGACACCCTCAAAGTGGGGTGGGGGGTGGAGATGGGGAAGTACCTTCTTTCCAAGTTGGGCCTGTAGTGCCTCCAGAGTCTTCGTGCTGCTCTCCTGCTCGCTGTCTAGCATGCTCTTTAGGTGTTGCAGTTCTGCTTGCAAGTTTGCCACCTCCTGGTTATGCTGTGCCATTGCCTGAGTCCAGCTGTCCTTCTCCTGCTCTAAGCTTGCTATCCTGGTGCTCTGCTCTCCTCTTGACTGCAAGGGGCAAAGATAACAGATGGAAATTCTTAGCATCACGCTCTATTAGGTGGAAGGTGGAAAAAAGAGAGACAAGAAGAGGATGAGACACAATTCCTCACTTGGGGATCACTTACAAACCCAGGTTCCCACTTTGTGGCACCATCATCACTGTCAGCTCCCAGCTTAGAGGGATGCTATATATGCTGTTGAAAGGTTGTTCATAGTCAGACTTACCAGTAAACAATCCACAAGTAGCAAACTGTAGCCAGCAATATGAGGCTGGACTCCAAGCTTGTGGCATCACATAAGCCAGATGAGGCTCCCCAGGGATGCAGTTTAGTTGTATTTGTCAATGCTTTTTGCAACTGTGATTTTAAATGGATTCAGCGTTGACGAAAGGTGTTGGCTTGTCAGTCTGGAGACTTCAGTGCTTTGTTTAGCCACATCTATAGTGAGCATAGGCAACAGCCAGGCATGCTTCCTTTGCACTATGTGTTGCCAATCTACCTGTCCCCTAGACGAATCATTTCTTGGATAGAACAGTTCAATCTCTATTGCCATTTAATTCATGCTCCCCTTTGCAAAGTCTGTGATAAGGGGACCAATTAATACCCCTCAGGCTGGTGGTTATGCCAAAATAGATACATACTTAATGGACCTGCAACTACCTGAGATAGAAGAGTCCTACTGTGCTTTCAGCAAACAAATGCCTCAGCCTTACATAAAGTGCCCTACATATCTGGACTGACGAAACAGATTTCTCTAAGATGCACTAAAGCTGGATGGGGAGTTTCTCTTTAGAGAAAAGCAATTAGTTGCTTTTGGCACTCTATAAGGCTTTGAACTATACCAGAAAGCAAACTGTAGTTATTTTCCCTTCATACAGGATTTCAGAGATTTTAAGACCAGAAGAACCAGTCCAATTTCTTGCACAGCATAGGCCAGAGAACTTCACTGAGTTTGGCATTGAGCTCAGTGGCTCAGGATGAACTAGAAACTATAGTTTAGGACACAGTTTTATATTGAACTTTCTGCAATGACACACATGCATCACATCACTCATCACTTCTGAAAGGGCTCCTATTTGGGGTGGGACACAGGAGATAACACACCTATGGAAGATTTAAGACATTTAACAAGCAAATGGGCAGGGAATGTGCAGAACTGGAATGAGTCCCACAGTATTTACCCTGCTTTCCTGACCAAATGTGCCAAAGGGATTTTCACAATCAAATGGATCTTGACTCTGAACTGTACAGTGCAGCTCTTTCAATTCCCTGCAGCAACCTGGCCTGTATGACAGCTTGGAAAAGAGAAGAAGAGATTTCATCCCTACAATGGAAGTCAGTCAAGAATGCAGTTTAAATCAGGGGGTCAGTACATGCACCTACAGGAGGCCTCAAATGCC